CGTTAGGCTGTAATGTGCACTGTGCGAAAATTGTACAGACTACTACACCCTCGTTTAGAGCAGCTGACCGACTTCATGTGCGGCCTATGAAATGATGATGCAGACCACGGCAATAGATAGATCGGGCTTGCTTACGTTTCACGAGAGTGTACGAATTATTTATCATTTAAAGTTCCTTCATGTAGAAGGGGTCCGTCTCCCCCTGTTCTTGAGTTGCAACAGAAGTCCTGGAGGTAAAGACGAGTATAGTTTTTCCGCAATCGCATTCACTGTCTCTACTTACCAATTTTTACTCCGGAATCTCTCGGAGATGTGCGTCAAATATTCACCGTTTTGGGCTTATCAGAAGAGCATTAGATAGCGACTGAGGGTCAAAACGTAAGGATCAGGCGTCAAAGGCTATAAAAACCTCGGCCGCAAGTTGCGACAGCGTTGAGATACACTGTCAGACGCGCTTTGTGCAAACGGCAAAGGGTAGTCCAGTGCAGAGGTCCAGGGGTGAGGTGACCGCGCCCCCCGCGAATTGCGGCGGGAGGTGGCGATTGCCCCAATTGCAAAGGCCGTAAGAAGAATGAGAGAGCGCGCGCTTCCAGTCCGGCCGTGACTAGGTCTACAGGAATATTTAGGCCAGGGCTCCTTTTCGCCGGAGCAGTTCCATCTTGCGGTCCTAGAGCGCAGGTGTGAGTGTCATCAACCAGCAGGTGACCTTCGATGGCCGATGCTGCTGCCTCACTTTCTTCGTCTTAAAGAAAGAACGTCATGCGCTACTAGGTCTCCAGGCAAGTGAAAGTCTTCGGCTGGTCGCCGGCAACGTGGGCTCTGTAACAACTGACAGTTCTGAGCAACTGCTGGAATAATTTAGCCACCTGTTTAAACGCACAAAAAATGGTGCTACGCGACGGCGCAACCCCAGCTGTCCACGCGGCTCGACGCGTTCCTCTGGCCTTACGAGAACAGCTGCGCGACGAGCTCAAAAGGATGGAGCAGGCTGCCATGATAACAAAGGTCAACGAGCCAACGGACCGGGTAAGTCCGCTCATGATTGCCAAGAAAAAAAAACGGAAAACTTAGAGTTTGCGTGAATCCAAGGAGAATCAACAGGTGCATTAAGCGGAAGCACTACGAAATGCCCAGACGCGAAGATATAGAGCCGAATTATCAGGCACGAAAGTGTTCACCCGACTGACGCGAAGGCTGGCTTCCACCAAATCCCTCTTGACGAAGAAACATCGAGGATTTGTACGTTCGCTCTTTCTTTAGGACGGTACAGGTTTCTAAGGCTGCCTTTCAGAATTTAGACCGCATCAGAAATATTTCGAAAGACTTTGAACGAGATTTTTGACTCTCTGCCCGTTGTTCACGTGGATGATATCGTGGTGTGGGGAACGTCCAGGATTCAGCACGACCAACGACTCCGGGGCTCTGGGTGCTGCTTTCGCTGCGCACCGCCCAGTGCACCGATCGCGTTGGCGGTACAAAAAACCAGAGGTGGTTTCTTGCGGCGCTTGCGGCTCCATCGGAAGAAACTTAGATGTTTGAACAAAACGTAACAAAACCGAGAAGAAACGCGAAAAAGATGGCGACGAAGGCGTAGTGGCTGTGTCTACTGGGTTAAAGAGTATCCGCTTGTAATAATGTGACAAGCAGCGCTTCAAATCTAGTATAAAAATGCATACATAAAAACAAACACAAATAAATAACTTTTAGTTCGGGTATACTTTGATTAACGTAATCACATTGGTGTTCTTTTTACTTGGGGCCTGGGGTAGAGGCTACACATTTGGCCCGTGACCGAATGCGAATGAGTTCCGCCGAACTCCTTCGGTGGCAAAGGACATTTGCAGCGAATGCCATTCGTGCAGGCCGTGTAGCACCAGTCGAATGACATTTGGGGCGAATGCCATTCGTTGTAAATGGCATTCGAGTTGCCCTTGTGGCACGGGCTTAAGAAGGCAAAAGTCGTCGCCAAGACACGCCCGAGGTCGTACCAAGATTTAACCGAGGACGGCAGGGTTATTCGGAGGAACGGGCAACATCTACTACCGACAAACGAGTCTTTCAGTCCATACACACCGCAAGATGACAACTCGGACGAGGAAACTCATATCGACTTACCGTCGGTAAGTCGATATGAGAATCCCACGAGAATCCCAGCGGCAATACAAGACTACACTATGACTGTCACTTTTTTAAGTGCCTTAATGTGTTTTTTTAACTGACGTAATTGCATTGTGAGAAAATTTTATCAAAAAAAAGGTGGGGGGGAGGATGTATTGTATTGCGCTATACAATATAGCCACGCGGTGAAGCGAAGGAGTGCTCGCGCTACCAACACGAGCGCCCGGGACATCGCTCGGAGCCTTTGGACTGAAAGGACACTGGACACAGCGAGACATTACATCGACCTGATAATGAATTTCGTGGGAATAAAAAACGATACATGTCAGGAATTAGGATTGAGTAAGTACTTATCTTCCTTACTTAAATCTTTTGTATGATACGAATTTCGAACTTAATGTGGAAGCTTAACGGGTGGTCTATGATACACATGTAAGAAATATCTTTGAGTAAGAAACATATTCACATTTTTTTCTGAAGAGTGTGGTGGTGCGGTTTGTCAACGTTTCAAATCTATCCGAAACGTCCAAATCGCTAGAAGATTCGGTCAGTTATCCGAACTTTTCCAAATCCCCAGATTCGGGTCCTAATCTCGGCTCATAACAAAGTTCGTCCCATCACTATTTGCGATGCACCGGCCTAATCTACGCTTAGTCGTAGAGGGGTTTCCAGTCCTTTTGCGATGTTCCAGCGATATCCGCGTTTAGTCGTGCCGTGACTGTCAGTCGTGATGGGATGTTACCGTTTTTTTTTTTTTTTTTTTTTCGTAAACAAAATTCATTTTATGCCATATTTGAATGTCAAGCCCGAGCTGACTTCACGATTTGTTATTTCCTCTCTTCCAAAAAAATGCTCGATATAAAATACATTACGCTTTACAACTCCGTCTCTTCAAGTAAAGCTTACTGCACCAAGCCACTAGTACCCAAAGAACTATGCACGTTTTTGGTATTGGTGGTTTTCTTCGTCGGAGTCTTGGCAATAGACCGATCTCACTGAGCGTTTGCCACATGCATGACGCCGCCATAAATTTAGTTCACGGGAGGCAGACGGCCGCACATGCGAGGGTTCGTGCCGTCTCTTGCTCCACCAAGGCAGAACTCCAGCAAGGCTATTATTGCACATGCAGAAAAGCTGAAGTTTCCTCGATGTATTGCGGCAGCAGTAGCGTAGTCAAGCTGGTTGGTAATATAGGTCTATTATTGTGCTGTGTTTGTCGCACGCACTTCGACAAAGAAATGCTCATCGTTGACAGAGAGGTTGTATTGAATGTTGGGCGACCTTCTTCATTCTCGACTTTTTGTTTGCGCTTCCTGCGCTACCACGAGTCGGCTTATACAAATATCTAACATTACACAAGATCGGTGTTCCTTTTCTTATATATTCTGCAAGCACCCTTCTGATAGTAATCCTGCACCTCTCTGAATCTCCACGGTCCTTCGTATTTTAATTATGAGTTTTGCTCCCCATAACAATAGTGTAAACGTATTTATTAAATCGTTTTCCGTTGCACAACGAAGTATCTCTCGCAAACGTGTCGAGAATCAGCCGCATAGACAAAGGTGTAATATACTTGAGGAAGCGATCGAAAACGATTCCGTTTGTCCACGTATGCGATTCATATGATATGCAACGACCGACACATAACATACATATGCAATGTGAGGTACAGGTAGCAGAGCGCGTTAGATAGACTACAGCTCACACAAAAAAGAATAAAAAAGAGAAATGAAAGAACTGTGAGTGTCTGTCTATCGCCTATTTCTCTGTTTTTACTCTTCCTGTGTGAGCTGTACGCAATTTCCTGCCAATACCCCGGCGGCAGTCCGATTCGTTCAGTACCCGCACGATATAGCGCCGATATTAGGCCGGTCGCGAAAAGACGGTACGCCAATATCTGTCGGAAACCGGGCTGTGGTGCACAGCTGTACATTTGGCCCATGTTGGGACCGATTTCTCGTCGTCCCTTGCACAACATTGGCCAGGAATTGCCGTGCAGCTTGGGAGGATTCGCTGAAAACTGTTCACTTAGAAATCTAACATCAAGTCTGGTTCCCACACTTACGACTGCCTAGGACGGTGTGCCTTAAAACACCCTAAAATCTCCTATGACGAGATGACACACTTCCGACTCCATGGGACGGCGCGAAATACCTTGTACTTCCGTATACTTAATCTCTCTTTCGCGCATCATACTCTTTTGGCTCGAAAATCCTTTAACAATGTTATGAACGACCATGTATCATTGACAGTGCGTAATTTGATCTGGAAAATACCGCAAAACCTTCGCTTTTGTGATGAACAGTTCGTTTGGTCTCCTAGGTGGCGCCATCGAGCCATTGTATTCTCTAGAGAGCCTGGGCTACATGGAGCTTCCAACTGCTCAGTCGAGGTAACGTCGTTTATGGGCTGCGTTTGCAATACGAGCTGCGATGAGTTCCCGAAAGCGTTGATCGTCTGCAAACGTCTCCTCCTTTCATCCTCCTTTGTTCCTCGCCACGCGAGATCCCCGCGCATGCGCACTTGCTACCAGTCTCCGCAGGGGGTGTCCGACATTACATTGCAAAGGCTCCCGACGGTTTGAGATGGACCCTCTCTTCAATACAGGCTCCATAGTGTTCTCTAGGTTCCCTTGTCGTAAGAGGTTGCAAGAACTCGCCCCTAAGCAAAGGCAAGGGCTTCAACGGGCCTTAAGTGGTACCTTTTGGTGCCTGAAAATAGCCTTTCAAAATAAAATATTACCAGGATCATCGATCTCGTGGTTGTGATAACAGTGTCACCCAGTGTACATACGTTACGCCGGATGTGTCGCCATAACCAACTATAGAGATTCTCATTAGTTAAACATTCTACAATTAGTTCGATGAAAAAAGTAGTCTCACGTTTTTTCAAGTTGCAGGGGTCAAATATCGTGTAGGTTTTCCATAATCCGCTTCTTTCCATTATTTCCGGAACTCGCCTAGAGCTGCTTTCCGCAAAGACGTTCCCGGCTACAACCTGTATGAAAAGGACCACTACGAACATGTTGGAATTGTTTGTCGGCGATTCAGAGGTTCGTATAAGTCGTAACCAACGTTCTCGTCCTATTTCTTTCCTGTCTTATATAGTGTGAGAATTTCACAGGGGGAAAATCAAGCAAACATGACGGAAAAAGAACAACAAAAATTTGGACTTGAAGAGCGCTTTTTCTCTGTTTACGCTGACCTATAACACAATAGAACATTTCAGCCGAGAGCTAACGATGACTTCGTTAGAAAAGGGAGACTAGAGAACACGGAGCGCTAGTCTCCCTTTGGTCCTCGTCTCAAGCGCTATCATGGCGTCGAATTCCCAGTACCAACTAGCCGAACAATCTGCATTGTTGTTATACTCAGTTTCGCCTTACCAAGGCTTATTGCGCAGGAGGCGCCGTGCAACAGAGATTTTGGTGGCACGGCAAAAGATCCCCATTGGTCCAAATTAATCATTTGTCCTCCGCTAGAGTGTACCAGATGCCCCTAATTTGTTTGCCACAAAAAAAAAAAAAAAAGAACCACCAATTTGATAATCACGTTTACAATTAAAGGGGTTAAAAAACAATATATGTTTGCAATGTTCGGGACTTTGCAGAGGCGTTTCTGTCCTAGCCTGTCTCAAGTGTACTCCAACAGACCGCCAATGTTTGAGAAGCTTCTATGTTGTGGTGAAATTGCGAGGCTAAAAGGGGACTCTTTCTTTCTGTCTTACTTTCGAGATGTTTGATGTCGCCATTGTGGGATCGAAGCCACCCGCCTGACGACAATCGAGTGAGGCTAATGGATTGGACACGAGAACTGCGTGCGCACTTGACTTTGCCATGTAACAATCAATTACGCTTAGACTCAGAGTGCGCATATTGCACTTCAAAATAATGCATATGTATTCTTCCCTCCTGCACGTCATTTTGAATTTTCGCCGTATGTATATTTTTGTATTTAAATGCTTATTATGGCTCATTTATTTAGTATTTCCTCGTTTATGTTGTCTTATCTAGTTTCCGGAAACAAATCCCCAAACCGGCGTCCCAGCTAAAATGTTTGGAGGCCCCTGATTTCGATGTCTTGCAAGGCAAGTCAGTTCAGTGCACTAAACTTTTACCGAAGTACGACAGCTACGTTTCTTTCAACGTCTGTGTGGATACCGACTGTTTCGACACAATTAATGACCCGAATGTGTGGCATTCTGGATGCCTTTTTCGGCCGTTGCTTGGTGCTTTAAAAATTGATCCGGGGGACACTTCGATGTCTTCGAACAAGTAAGCATACCAAAATGGCTGGTCGTTATCACGAAAGCGTGACTGTGTACTATCATAATTTACACGGTCTTCGAACTAAATCAAATATATTTTCAGCTGGCGTGAATGCAAGTAACTACGATATTTATTGTTTGACGGAAACGTGGCTACAGGCCAACATTCCCTCCTCTGAGTATACTTCGGTAACCACTTCAGCGTCTACCGCTATGACAGGGACGCTGTTAAGTCCGGCAAGCGTTTTGGAAGCGGTGTAATGCCTGCTGTAAATGCAGATTTTGTTTCTTACCGAAGTGAAAACCTAGAGGGAATTACAACGAGTGTGTGGGTTGAGATGTCGATGAACGATAAATAAAATCTACTGAGTGTAAACCACTACTTGTTTTGCTCCAGGATTCAGTGCGTCCCATTTTCTGCAGAGGTTCAATTTGCTTGAGACAAAGTTGGACGCGTGCCGGCATCGTGTTCTACTTCTCGCTAATTTTAATCTTCTTTGTGTTATCTGTGGATCCCAGCAAGTAGGGTAGAGGAGTCCTAAGTCGACAGAAAAGGCCGGTGTGCTGCTTGACGTTCTGAGCTTTAACTGCCTTTCGCAGATAAACAGTTTAAAAAACATGCGGGTAACGTATTAGACCTGTGCATTACTAACGACATGGAGGCTGTAATTTCGTCAGCTGACTCTCCAGTGGTTCCAATAATGTTCTACACGGTCTTCAATTAACTCATTCATTAACAATAATGTTAATCTGTCATGGGACAGTCATGCTCATTATTTGATTTGAAAATGTGCCACCTGATGACCGTTGCTGTAGTCTATTTACAATGCCTTAATCTTCCCACTTAAGCAAATGTAGTCTTGTTTGGAGTACAACCGCGAAAACCAATCTTAGCAAAATGTTTATAGCTAAAATATATTGACAGCTATCTTCAATGCCCCTATAATTTTTACAGCGAGACAATTTGTATTAAGTTTTCAAATAATAAAGATTTATAAAATGATTGTGGACTATGCGCCACTATAACAAAAAAAAAAAAGATAAAACTTAAATTTTAGGGTGGGGTGAGAGTTCGGAAGTGAAACTATCAATGTGAATTCTAATATTTTTCGTAACTTTTTCGTAACTGAAATAAGGCTTATTCAATATAAAATGATTTTTTTCAATACACTGGAGATACACAAAATATAAAAAACAAGCTAATTTTTTTTTTATTTTTTGCATTGCATACTTTTTTTTATTAACTATGCAGTCTACTTCGATTGATATTTTGCAGGGTTGTTTCTATGCTTTGAACTTAAGTGGAACTATAATGGATTGTTCTTTTTTATTTTTTGTGAGTTTGCCAATGAATATAAAATGTTATAAACTGTAGTTGGTAATGTTATTTTATTGAACATAAACATAAATTTGTTTCATTAAGTTTTTACAAAAGCTTTTATTTTTAGTAGAAGGCATGTAGGGATACAGGAAATCTCTGCCTATCAATTTTAATAACTCAACAACGAGAAGTTTTTTGTGATAAAATACAAATGCAAAAACACAAAAAATAATATAAGTATGTTTATTTATAGTTTGTATATATCTACCATTTATTTATAATAATGCAATGTAATTTTATGAGTCTTAGTTCAGTTATAAAAATTTCAAAACCAACTTCATTAGTTTAATTCCAAACTATCACCCCACCTTAACTGAACTCGATCCCTGTGTTACAACAAAAGAATAATCAACCTGATCCGTTACAATGACTACTGGAAGGTTCCTAAGTGAATATCAAATTAAACAGCACATGATTAAATGTATAGTTCCCAAGTTCATTAACAGCGCTATAGAAAAAAAATATGATCCTTGAATAATTGTTTGAACCCTCTGCGAAAAAAAAAGGGCCCCTTTCCCCCTCAAAAAAAGCTACCTTGTTACCATGAGGTTTACGGGCCTTCCCAATAGGAGCGCCGACCGTTGATCGTAGCATTAGATTTCTACCTTGTTCTACTTCACGCGACCTGTCATTTTAAAGACAGTCAGTAATGGGTATTTACAGGCGACATCTGCTATTACAACGAAGAAGGTTGGTTCTTTTTGTCGAGAAGATGAACGAGCTTTTCCGGTGCATGGGGATCAACGTGGCCCCTTCCTCGATTGAAAGCGCGTTGCTCAGCAACGAAGGTATTAAAAAAGCGGCTGTCATTGGCATTCCTCATCCAAAATATATGGAAGCCGCCATCGCATTCGTCGTTCTAAACACTCCCCAGAGCAAACTCACGGAAATAGATGTAGAGACATTTGTTGCAGGTGAGTACGTGTGTCATGTACATCTCATGCATAAAAAAAAAGAAAAAAAAAACAGTTTCTTTAAAGCCTTCTACGGAATTGTTGTCACGCATTATTTACTAATTACGACACTTTAGGCATTGGTGCCACAGCATCACACGTGAAGTTTTAATGCGTTAAGCAGGGAAGACATAAGCGACAAAAACGAGCGGCACCGCGCGTTGCGCGCACGCTGTGACGTGGCGGCTTGGTATAGGTCAGGGGTGGCCAGGCTGACCCGGCTTTAGAGCCGCAAACAAAACCACGAAACTTCCAAGATTAGCGGGGGGGGGGGGGGGGGGGGGGACGTTTGTCCAGAGCAGTGGTTCTCAACGATCGATATTTTGCGGGCCCTTTGTGGATCACCGGAGATGATGGATGACCCCGTTCGTGGCGAGGGGAAGGGAAAGGTATAGGTTAATTATAATATTGGTTTAATAAAATGAATATAACTAAGGGCTAGGGTCAAGCAGACTTCCCCTTTGACATATAAACTAGAAAACTCACCCGAAAATTGGAACGTTTCTTCTCAATCTGAGAAAAGACAACTTTTATTGCTGGGTTTGGCTGATGAGGTTATGCTTTGCGAACCCCTAGAATACCTTCGCGGACCCCAAAGGATCCGCGGACCCCCATTTGAGAACCACTGGTCCAGAGCAATAAACGAAACTCGAACTACTTTCCATCTATCCGAGTCAAAAGCAGTCCAACGGTACGTAAGGTAGCAGTAGCAAGAGACTACCAACCCGCAACCTGTCTAATCGATTTAAAACGCGCTCTATTTCTCTTTTTGGAGAAGTGCTCGTGTGATCGGGAGGGAGGCGGGGAGGGGGGAAGGGGTTTTAGGGGAAGGAGCCGCGAGCGGCACTTTAACACGCGAAGAGCCGCATCTTGGCCACCCCTGATATAGGTCCACGTCACAGCGTCCTGGGCTGTTGCAATGGGAATAAACGCGCGGCGACCGTTTTTGCCGCTGATGTGTTCCCTGCTTGAGCGTTAGAACGCTCGTTTTCACAAAAACCCGGTGGTGTCATTTGTTTCTCATAGCCGGGGAGAGAGGGAGAAGGAGGGGGAGAAGGTGACGCGTGCGATATCCCCTTTGGTTTGAAGCGCTGACGTCAGCAAGCGTTAACCTCTCCCTCTCTCCCCAGCGCTGATAAACTGACAGACACCGCCGGGTTTTCGTCGAAACGAGCGCTTTCATTTTCGTCTAAATCACGGGCACAGCTGTCGCGAAGCCAGAGAGGGGGAGGCGCCGCGGAAAAGCTCCTAGATAGCAAAGTTGTGGTGTTCAACGAGAAGGCGTCATAAGAGGAAGTCCAACGCTTGACACAGATCGGAAACGAGTGCTGCGTCAGCGCCCGGCTTTGGGTCAAGTTTGAGCCAAACTTTGACGCAACCGTCGTCTCCAATCTGTGCCGAGCGTTGGTCTTCTCTGATGACGC